TGATTTCTCAAAAGAGACCTTGCAGGCAAGAAGGAGCTGGAAAGAAGTATTCCAAGTCATGAAAGACAAGGACCTCCATCCAAGATTGCTCTATCCAGCAAAGCTTTCATTTAGAATGGAAGGGCAGATAAAGTACTTCCCAGATAAGGTCAAGTTAAAGGAGTTTATCATCACCAAGCCCTTATTTTATGAAATGTTAAAGGGACTTATCTAAGAAAAAGAAGATAAAAAACACGTATAGTAAAATGACAGCAAACTCACAATTATGAACAACCACACCTAAAACAAAAACAAAAAGACACTAAGCAAACAACTAGAAAAGGAACATAACCACAGAAATGGAGATCGCATGGAGGATTAGCAACAGGGGAGTGGGAGGAGGAGAGAGGGGGAAAGGTACAGAGAATAAGTAGCATAGATGGTAGGTAGAAAATAGACAGGGGGAGGGCAAGAATAGTATGGGAAATGTAGAAGCTAAAGAACTTATAACACATGGACATGAACTAAAGAGGGGGAATGTGGGTGGGAGAGGGTGTGCAGGGTAGAGGGGAATGAAGGGGGTTAATGGGACAACAGTAATAGCATAATCAATAAAATATATGTAAAAAAGGGAAAACATGAACATTAAAGTAAAGGTCCTAGCCAGTACAATAATACAAGAAAAATAAATAACAAAAAAAGAAAAAGAAATAAAAAGTACACAGAAGAATAAAAACTGTGATTAATCACAAATTGTATGATTTACTACACACACACACAAAAACACACACACACAGAAGAATCCTCAAATCAGTAGAATTAACAGGCAAGTTCCACAAAGTTTCTGGATATAACACCAGCATTCAAGAATTAATTTCATGTATATATGAGCAAAAAAATTAATTAGAAAAGTACCTTAAAAACCCCAAGTGAAAATAACACTAAAGCATAAACTAGCTAGAACTAAATCTAATAAAAGCAGTACCAGATTTTTGGAGAAAATTATAAATGTTTTTTGAGAGACGTTAAAAAAATCTAAATAAATGTAGAGCTGTATTATGTTCATGGTTAAAAGACAACACTATAAAAATACTGGCTCTCCCCAAACTGATGCAGAAATTCACTGTAATTCAATAACAAATCACAACAACTTTTTAAAAGAAATTGACAAGCTGATTCCAAAGCTGAGGCAGAAAAGCAAAGGGCAAGAATAACAATAACACTCCTGAAAATGAACAAGGTGAACTATTTCCTTTACCAGATATCAAGGCTCATTATCCTTCAATAATAGTATAAATAAGACAGTGCAATATTAGTGCAAGGAAAGACAGAGAGACCAGTGAATGGGACAGAGAGCCCACGAACAGACCCACACTTAAACGGAAACCTGATACGTGACACAGCCATTCATTTATGGATCAATGAGAGAGGATAGGTCATTCTATAATCCAGTGACATGAGTTCACTGGTTATCTACCTGAGAAAAAGAGAAAAATCTGATCTCTACTTCACACTTTACACACACATGCACATGCATCAATTCAAAGGGATTAAGGCCTTGTGTGTGAAAAGCAAAACTCTAGAATTTTTAGAAAAAATATACGCAAACATGTCTTTTCAAAAAAATGGCTGAAGCAACAGAGAGAGAGAGAGATGAAATGATAGCCCAACATACCCAAAATACACCTAATAGGAATTTCACAGGAAGAGATCTTAAAAATTACTTGAGCCTAGAATTTATAGGAATTAACCTAATGGTATTTTCATTACCATTACCATTTTCATTTTCATTACCATTACCATTATTACCTAATGGTATGGTAATAATAAAGATAAAAACCACATATCTACAAAATTAGGAATGAGGGAAAAAACAGAACAGATACTGAAGTATCTTTTTGTTGTTTTAATAATATGTACTAATAGGTAATATCTGGGAACACCTAAGTCACCAAATTGACTAAAAAGTGGAAAGTGACCAAGAGTCCCGTCCCCCCCCATGGGTGCTGGGCCCAATTTTACAAAGGAATACAGGGTCAAAGCATCGTATGCAATTACAGAAGATATGCATTCCTGAAAATCTTTTATAATTCAAAACTCATATAACACTGTTTTCCAGAAAAGATAATGGGTATCCTATTAACCAGCTAAACCGTAAATACAACTCACCTGCCACCACCTCAAATTACGTAACTGTTAATAATATAATATTTTAAATCAACTTTCATTTTTAAATGTAAGTTGATTTATATTATTACATATTTTGTACATAAGCAAGACTATTAAAATATTTATATCATGTAGTTCCAACTTGCACCATTCAAATTCATAAAAAGTGGCACAAATATATTTAACTCTTAAAGAAATAATTCTAATGTCATAGAGAATGTTCAAGAGCACAGAAAATGAGAGTATACCATAAAGAAATTATGAAACTATTATAACCCTGATATCAAAACCTAGAAAGATAACCTCAAAGTAATCTTTATTAATAGAGATGCAAAAATCCTAAATAACTAATAGCAAATCTAACTCAATGATATACTTTAGAAGTTCTAGTTACCAATTTCCCCTTAACCAGGATTAACAAACACTCTCCACTCTCTTGACTGCCAATCTGACTGTGGCCCAGAGTCAGCTGAAAACCTGCAGCTAACCTAGAACGGCCACTGCAGCTCCAAGTGGATGAGCTGTGTGTTGACCAGAGTCAGCTGTGCTTGTTCTTAAACCCATTTTATGCCAGCTGTACTAATATGGTCATTATTAGATCAATGCAAAATTACAATGTATTACAAAAATACATAAAATTTGAATTTAAAAAGAAAGGGCATTTTATTTATGAAAACTAATTTAATGCTGCTGGGGTTTTTTTTTAATGATGGAAGTTAAAGATGTGCAACAAAAACGGTGGGAGGAGGAGACCTGAAACCTTAAAAGGGCTCCACACAAATTTCTGGCAGGTATTCTTAAGATCTCATCAAACTTTAATAGACCTAAAGAAAAAACCATAGGTAATACACCATGGACATGGTTTGCACCCAAAGAATGATGGGACACTCAAATGGCAAGTCCAAACTCAAAGAGACCTTAGCACATGTCGAATAATTGAACACTGAAGACACACGGATAAGGCTAGAAATAAATAATTTATGGTACAGAACATATGACATTTAATGAGTCTGTGTTTAATCAGCTGTTTCCATTGGTCAACCATCTTCCTTTCTTAAGTGACTGAATAAGAGAACTTCAGTTGCAGTGACCCTCAGATCCTGACCAGCGGACCTGTTTGGGTTTACTCCAGGAATGCAGGGCAGTTACTACATTCTACTAACAGAACCATGGAAAACACAACGATTGACTTGATGAATGCCAAATACCACTGGATAAAATTAAACTCCCATACCAATTTTTAAGTTATTAAGAAACTAATAAAGGACACAGCCTTGACAAAATCAAGAATATCTACCTGAAACTACCAATCATTATCATAATTAATGAAAAACTGGCAGAGGCCTTCTCATTAGAATCAGTAACTAAATAAGTTTGCTCACTAACATCTCAATTACTGAATGTTATTTTGGAAAAATGAGTAAGGTATAAATATGAGAAAAAAGTGACATACTTATTACTGTTTAAAGAAAACAATCTTACCTAACTGGAAAACCCAAAGGAATTAGTTAATAACTGCCAGAACTAATAAAGGAGCTTAATAAAGAGTATGTTTCAAAGTAAATATACAAAAATATCATTTTCCTATATTCTAGCAATAACCAGTTAGACAAAGTCATAAGAAGAGAAGATATTCCAGTTAGACAGCAACAATGGCTGTAAAAAATACCTATGAATAAACTTAACAAAAAATGGGCTGGACCTATACAAAGTAAATTAAAAATCACCCCTCTGAGGTACATAAAATAAGACAATAGTAAAAATTAGAAAATTAAATGTCCAACAATAAGGGTAATAGTTAAAACCTTATGGAGGTCCCTATAATGAAATGATATGCCATCCAATTTTAAAATATATAAAGATATGGAAAAACATTCATAATATATTTTAAGTAAAAGAAATGCAGATTATAAAAAAGTACAAAACGATTCCATTTTGTAAAAAAAAAGTGCATGTGCATAAACTTTATCTAAAAATGTGGGCATATCACAATCTTAACAGGCTTATCTCCAACTGGCAGGAATACAAGTGTTTTTAGCTTTCTGCCTGATACTTTTTTGTGTTTCCTATATTCTCTACAACAGATAAATCAGAAAAAATCTTAAATATAGATTGTCTTCTCCTAAAAGCCCATAAAACACAGAATACAGCAATGCCCCCCTTAGTTCCATGAATGGAGTTGAGCTTTGGCAGTTGCTATCTCTCTGCCTTCTCTACAGGTCAGGGGCTGCTCCCCTTCACCCTACACTTGGGATTTCATGAATGTGAGTGAAGGCCAGACACCAAAGTCCTCTTCCTGGAGGGACCCACGATCCATACAGATGACGTGTGGAAATCAGCGCAGGCGGGCAGAAGCAGCCTCGCTGGGAACTGCAGGAGCTGACCTGGGCACCGGCAGACCTCTCAGAATCTGCTGGGGACCGCCAGGGCTCCTCAGTCACACACGCCCTTCATGCCTCTGGGAGGGACAGAGCAAGTCAACCTGCCATTGCCCCCAGAGGTTTCTCGTGTCCCATGTCCCAGCAGTCAGAGTCTAATTTAGAGACTTCCCTGTTTCCACTGGCCCATGCAACTCTGGCCATCCCCTCCACCCCCAGTCCTCATGCAAGTAAACAGGATTAAGGAAAATCCCAGCATGCGCCAACAGATAACTCAGGGATGTTTCTGTGAATCTTCCTTTAGCTTTCTCCCCACCGGCTTCATCACGGCCCAGGACAAGTAACTGTTTTCTGCTGGGACTCAGGAAATAACTTCCTTTTTTTCCCTCTACTTCCCTCTCCTCATCCCTTCCCCCTCCCAGCCCCCCCACCCCAGGAAATCAAGGAACCCGCAAATAGGTAAACAATACATACATGAGGACTGGATGGAGAAGATGTCATGTTAGTGGGGGCCGAACCCGACAGACCATCTGCAAGCTACAAATTAAACATGCTGGTTAGCAACAGGTTTAGAGAAACCACTTCAGGAAAGGCTGGACAGCCCCGAGGAAGTGTTGCTCTCTGACCAGACGCCTTCTGCTCTCCCTCCAGGGAGGCAGTGCAAGTTGTGGGAGGAACATGTGCTTTGGAGTTGAACAAGCCTGGTGCCAAATCCTGGCCCCATTGCTTTACCAGCTGCATGACCTTGGCCAATCCCCTGACCTCTGAGTCAGAATCCTCATCAGTCGCACCTTACACAGCGACAGTAAGTGAAGACAAGATACAGACCATGCACACCTAGAACAGGCGAGGTACATGGAAGGGGTACAGCTGATGCCTGCATCTCACCTGCTTTCTCACTGCTTGGCACCATTGACCCAGTGCCACTCTCTCATGCCCCCCCTCCTTTTAAACTTCCCCACCATCCCTGTGGTTTCTTCTAACAGCTGAGCTACACCAGCCTCTGCTTGGGCCCTGTTCCTAACCTAGCGCAGGTTTCTGGGTCTTCTTTCCTCAAGGTCAAGAACAAGGTCACCATGTGGCTTTCCCAAAATCCTGTATAAGGGTGGATCTAAGAGTTTTATGGTCCAGCATGCCTCCTATACTACAGAAAGTTTTCCACATTCTTTTCTGACATCAGATCCTTGCCTGCCATCTTCTGGGACTGTGAATCGATGTTTTATAGGGTAGGTTTCTAGGCCACAGGGTCCAGAGGGCCTCAGAGTAAGGACTGGAAGTAGGCGACTTTTTCAGAGGCCATGACAATAGTCCCAGAGATGGGGCTGTCTGTGGATAAATACTAGTCTAAATGACCAAGACCAGGAGATGCCTTCCAGGTGGGGAGAGGCAGGGCTGGCAAGTGCAAAGAGATAGAGGGAGAAAGAAGCACAACACATTTAAGAGAGAGGGAATCATTCAGGGCTAAGGACATAGCTAGAGAGGTGGGAGACCAACTGAACCCAAGGCTCCCAGGGTTAGACCCCTCTCTTCCTTTGAACCTGAGCAGGGAGCTCTGGAATGTACACAGGAGGCCATGCCCCAAACCATCCTCCTTTCCTGGGCAGGAAGAGCCGGGGACACGTGCTCACCTGAGGATCAGGAAGGGCTCAGGAATACCCGGATGATGATGCCTGGAAGGACCGAGAACTACAGACCCACTACTGCTCTGTGGAGGGGATCACTGAGGGAACCCTCGCCTCCCCTAAACTAGCCCTCAGGGCTGGTCCGAGCCAGAGCTGGACAAGAAGACAGAAAGGCCAGTGGGCACCCAGCCAGGCCACTGGATTGCTCTGGGGGCTGGCCATATGTTGGTGGGTATGGTGTGACCCCCAGAACAGACCAGCTGAACTCCATGTGAAACCCCCAGCTGCCCAGAGACCAGCCGAGCCAAGCAGCAGCCCCACCCCTCCTATTCTCATCCTGAACCTCACCGAAGCCTTACTGTTATTTTTAATGCAGTTCGTTTTTAGAAAGGTGAGAGGGAAACCGGCAGTTCACCAGAGCAAGAGGGAGAGAAAATAAAGCTAAACATAGTGCTCCAAAGATCTGGTCCAGCTTCCGAAATTACACGTTCCCCTTTGGGACTCGGGCATAATTTGCTGCTCCGGTTCTGGGAGCACATTTCCACCTTCACGGCGTCCCAAAGACTATAACTGGAGCAGCCAGCTCAAAATTAGCCCAAGTTGGGGAGGCAGGGAGCAGCCAGACCTGGCACCCCACCCACCCCATCCCACAGCCGTGGGGAACAGGTCTGCAGGCCTTGGGAAGCCTCCTCCACACTAGCCTGGGTTTCCTCCACACCCCAAACCCATCACACGCTCACACGGCTCCACTACGAAGCATTTGCCCAGCCACTCTGCCCAGCCACTCTGCCCACCCGGAAAGGCTTCCTTTCCTTTTTGCTGTTCCAACCCCACCCCCTCAGAGCAGCTTTCCTGATTGCTTTAGCCACACTGACCTCCAAGGACCAAGAGTCCAAGATCTCGGTGTCCTGGCTAATAAAGCATTTCACCACTTTGACGTCACTCTGAGCATCTCATTTTAAATCGGCTACATGTCCCTCATCTGTCTCCCCACTAGACTGGAAATGTCCCCAGTGTCCTCCTGCTCTTTATCCCTCCTCAACACACACATATTCCCCACCCCCAGAAGTTATCCTTCTCTGCAGACTTAAAAAGGAGACCCTGTACCCAGGGTGGTCTCTCAGAATGATAAGCAAGTGTCACCCTTCACCCCGGGGACTCCAGGGGCATCTAGTGCATAGAAAGGGGGGTGGTGACAAGTGAGTGGACAGGGGGCGTCACCTCTACTTTGAGCTTCAAGACTCTCTCTCTAAGAAATGGGGGGAGCAGCACTCTGTGTTCCTGCAGACTGCGAACACCGAGAACTAGCTCAATGAAAAAGCAGCTTAGTACACAAAGCCCCCAATTTCGTTTTAAAGATAAAAACAGAGTCCAACTCAGAGTCAGAGACAGAATCAGAGACAGAAAGAGAAGCCCAGGGAAAGGCAAGGATAGAGAGCAACCTGTTGGCTGCAGTTCATTCAGATCGTGTTCTTGGCTGAAGGCAATGCATGCCTATTGTTCATTTTTCTATATTCTCCAACTTTTACATAACAAATGTATATTTGTAGTCAGAGAAAAATGAATAACAAATCCATTTTTAAGGCAAAGCACTAGATAGAATGAAAGACCTCCATGCCCCCTCTCTGAGGATATGCCCAGACCCACCCTCAGAAAGTGAGAGGTCAAGGTCACAATTCCTGCAACACCACCACTGAGGCTAGATATAATCTCTAGAGTTTGCTCACACACCAGCTCCCAGCCTCTCCCCACCTCTCACACACATTCACATGCATGCACCACACATACACGCACAGATGAAGGCCACCAGCAGGCTACAATTCTAAAATCTACACAGAGGACAGCCACACAGACCATGAATAAACTGTGGAGTTAACCTGCATGAGCCAACTCATCCCGGCCCTCATTGCCATGGAGAAGAGTCTCCAAGGTCAGGCACCCACCCCAAGGGACCATCCTCACCCCCAGAGGCAGATGCTGATCTATGAGCCCTGGAAGGCAGAGTAGAGAGATCTGCCTTACACATACATTTGGGGTCTTCTCTAGAATTGGCCACTCTTGATAGAAACCAAAACATTTCTAGAACCTTGAGAAACATTCTACCATGTCAGTACAATGACCTAAGTAAGCATCAGGAAAATCTGAGGTGATATTTTCTAACATGAGGCAGGCTCATCCCAAGAACTGGGTGGATGATAGTGAGAAGGTTCATCAGCAGAGAAGGTGCAACTGAAGAAGGAGACTGAAGGAACGAGACTAAAGCCAGATCTGGCAAGAGCATGTCTGAAGTTGGGGAAGAGCCCTCAGCTGGGTCCACAGCGGGACCTGGTGAGCAGAGAAGCAGGGGCCACATCACAGGAAGAATGAAATAGGCTGCCAAGAAACATGGGCTGAACAAACGGGAGCCAGGAGAAATCCAAATCCTGTCAGACTTATTGTCCCTCCCCTCCCCAGAGGCCAGGGCTACCATTCGGTCTGCACCAGGGGAATGAGGAAGGGATGAGAACCCAGCCAGAATTATCTGGCAAAGCATTTGCAAGGGGAACCACTGCCTCCTGGATCAGCCTCAGAATGCCTGGTTCTCCCAAGTGCCAGGGGATGCACAGGAAGGCGGAGTAAGTAAAAGATTTCCTGGACCAGCCAAAGCTAGCCAATGCATCTCAGAGGAAAACACTATACAAAATCAGTTTTCCCCAAATCCCCCACCAGTCCCTATCAGGGCAGGGCTTCCTAGACATAAGGACTGGTTTCCATGCTGGCCTCCGGCTTCTTGAGAATAGAGTTTTGTCCCCTCCATCAGACAGGGAGATCAGTGAGGGCAGACTCCAAGCCTCCTCCATCAGAGCAGGTGGATCTCACATCCTCCTTCTTCCTGCCCACCTCTGAGACCCTGTGAGCCTGTCCCCATGTGGGCGCACATCCAGGAACCTAGATCTTAGCTCCCCACCCCCTGCTTGGCCAATAGCTCTAGCCAGAGGGGCTGTGTGCTCCCACAAAAGTGGATAGAACTGCTCTGGCTCAGACCCCCACCCCAGTTCACTGATGTGAACGTCAGAAGGATGTCCAGACTGGGCCTCCTCACCGTCTGCCTCTGGCTGTGCTTGTAGGCATCAGGACCCAAAATAGTCCCTCCCCCTCGGAGTCTGCTTCCCTGCACAGACGCAGACAGCCCACTGAGGGGGTGGAAAGCAGGAGCCAGGATCAGGCAGACTGGAGTTTGGGGCTAATTATCTGCCTAATTCAGCTACAAACACCTACCCAGGCCAGAAAGCACTAGCATCCAGTGCTTTGTAGGGCCATCTGAAATTTTCACTTGGGTTTCCCAATCAAGTAAAGTTCCTTCTTAGACCCCCTACAAAGAGTAGGCAGGTCATCTTATCCCTCCATCTGTCCATCCACCCACGCATCCATCAATCCAGGCAGACTTCATTGAACACCTCCTGGTAAAACAGGCCCTCTGTTGGGCATTAAGGACACAAAGAGGATTGTGCCCCATACTGCCCTGAGCCTAGTCTAGGGAAGATGCTGCCAATTACAGAGACAAGCAGGACCTAAGGCAAGTGCAATGACTAAGATAGAGACAAGCCTTGCAGGAAAAGTGGGGGAGCCAGGAAAGAATGCTGAAAGGAGGTGACCACGACTAAGGTGAGCCTCAAAGAATGACCAGGAGTTGCCAGAAATGTCCCCAGCAGAAAGGATGATGGGGCAGAGCTCTGAAGAGCCACAGACATGGGAGAAATGGAGAGCTTGCAACTTCTGAGGACTCTCAAACTCAGTGAAACTATGCAACAGTGTCCAACCTTTTGACATCTCTGCCACACTGGAAGAAGATCTGTCTTGGGCCACACATCAAAGACATTGTGACACGTAATCACAAAAAAATCTCATAATGTTTTAAGTAAATTTACGATTTTGTGTTAGGCCACATTCACAGCCATCCTGGGCTGTATGCAGCCTGCAGGCTGGAGGTTGGACACCCCTGCTAGAGCAAGACCTCTTGTTTTGGCAGCAGGGAGGCCCAGGGCTAAACACGAGACATTCCCTGGAAGTGAAATGATAAGCAAATGAGAAAGAAGCAGATATGTCCGCCCTAAATGACAGAGAGAAGCCCCCATAAACACACCTCCAGGGACAGCTTTGAGGATCCTGCGCGCCAACACCCAAGTTTGCTCATATGCTCTCAATGCTGTCATTTGATTGAGGTTCTATAGAAAACAAAACCCTCTGAAGCCCTGCACCATCTCTGGGTGAATAAACAGACTGTGGGCCTGAGGATGCAAAAATTGTCTACAAAGACTGGGAGGCTCTGCTGTGAGCAGCACCATACAAAGCTGAGAGGAAGGTGTCAACACAGAACAGATGGCTAGTTTGAGGCCTGTGCTTGCTGTGAGGCCATTCTCCATTTCCCCTGGATGGTCTCAGGCCTACAGCACCCAGAGTGCTCCCTCTTCAGTAAGAGACACCACAGACCTCCTGTCATGCTGTTTGCCATAGTGTCTGACTTACCAGCAGGTCCTATGCTGCTGAGCGCATAGCAGAGAAATGCCTATGACCTGTGCAGGGTCGGATACCCTTGGAATAAGGCCCCTCTCCTGCCCTTCTCCCTTCCCTTTCCTGGAGGTGAAGGGATGGAGGAGGTAGAGAGACTATTGGCTTGGATGGAGACCCCTCCTTTTCAACTGCATCCAAGTGCCAGCGAGCACAAGTCCAGAGGGTCCTGGCTGGGGTTAGACTCTAGGACTGGAGCACCCTAATAAGTACCCAGTCACTCCCACCCAATCTACCTTCTGTCTCATTTGCTCCTCCCACCCACCTGGATTTCCTGGGCAATCTCCAGGGGAGAGCTCTCAACATGGCCCTCAAGGTAGTGGGGCCATTTTTCTCACATGCTTTGGGGGAAATGATCGGGTCTTACCAGAAAACCAGAAACAGCCTCCTCCCAACCAGACTAAAAGCTACCATCTAGGGCCCTCCATCTGTACAGTGTCCAGCCAAGGCACAGAGGGAGATCTCTTGTAGAGGCCACATGATATAGAAGGGAGAGCAGGAGGAGTGGAAGAGACAAGGAAGGGGGTGGGGGAGCCATCAGGGCCAGCACCTGGTGGTAACCAGTGTCCCTCCCTGGGGACCCAGCACCATCCTACCTGGAGGGGGATGAGGGGCTCCTTGTCATCAATGTCAATGAGCACATCCTCTCCGGGACTGAGTAAGCTCACATCATCTGTAGGAGAGAGCAGTGTCCAGGCCTGAGAGGGGGCTCCCTCAGGGATCTCATCCCTCCTCAGCCACAAGTCTCGGTTGGTCAACTGTGAGACAAAACCCGTCAGTGTCTCCACACTTCTCAATCTGTCTCTTTCTCTTCCTCCCACCCAATTCTTCCCTCACCCATCTCTGCCTCCCCCACCTTCCTTTGCGTTCCCTGTCTCCTCGATTCTCTCTCTTCCTCTCTCCCCATTTCTCTCTTCCCTCCTCATGCTATTAAATCCCAGCAACTCTCTCCCTCCCTCAACTCTTCCCCATTACCCTCCACTTTAGCCCTCACCTCTCAGCCCCCACAGGTGTGGACACATGTACCTGCTACCTGTGTGCACAGCCAAGATCCAAGCTATGCCCCAAGGAAGTCAAGGTCCTTACCCTTCCGGTCAGCTGAGCAGAAACCTCCTCTCATCCAGGTCCCAGTAAGGGGATGGCCTCAGACACATCTCCATGGCAAGTCCCACCTGCCCTGAGCCTCCTCTGCCCCAGCCCTCCCCATCAACAGCCGCTCCACCTACCTGGGCCACCCTGTGGGGATGGACTCTCCTCTGAGTAGGGATCACACAGGAAGCTCTCCAGGGAGCGGATGGTACACTGGCCCACCACAGGCCGGCGGCCAAACTGGCGGTTATCAATGACCTTGACCACAATAGGGGGACAGTAGAGCTGCTCCCTGGGCAGCATCTGGGAAGAGGAGGAGGGAAGCTCTGAGCAGCGGCCTAAACCCATCTCTGGGAGGTCTCAGAGAGAGGAGGGAGGGTCCCTTCTTCACAGGACAAGCCCAAGGAGAGAGAATGACTACACACCTACAGATAACCTCCAGTGGCCATAACTCCAAGAGCTGGCCAGGGAAGTAGAAACACACACCTTTTCCTCCTGCCTCTTGAACACTGTACAGGGAGCCTATTGCTTTTCCCCCACAGCTGTACCTTCCAAACACATCAGCTCAGCCCAAAGTGAAAGCAAGTCTCCTTTCCCTGAACCCTCACTGGCTAGGAGGGGAAGAGTGGAGAAGTTGGCCCAGGACTCAACATTTCTTGCAGACAGTCCCCCCCAAGTGGATACTCAAGAGTTGGCTTACAGACCCAGATTCTTCTCCCCACCCCACCTCCCCAGCCCCAAAAGCACTTTGAACACAACTTGAAATAATTTATGTGCTCTCCTTCGGTGGCGGGTTTGGCTCAGCCAAGAGAAGGCTCCTGTTGACAGCCACTGGGCCTGGAATTTCTATAGTGCTTTCATCTTGCAAACCATGTTCCTTTCCTCCAACTTGCCTTACTCTGGTCACTAGGCCCAGGCAGCCCAGGGAGCTGGAGAGGACTGGGGGCCTGAGGACAGTGGGGTGAGCCCATCGGTGGAGGCCCCAGTGGGGAGCCCGGAGTTGGGGTAGGTTTGAAGGAATCATGGAAGACCAGAGCCCCAGTAGCCCCTGAGGGGAGCTTTGGGGGTAGAGACCTGCCCTAAAAGGGGAAAAATCCATCAGTGATGGGTCCTTAGGACTCTGCAGACTCGGGATCTGGGCAGGAGGATGCAAGCTGGCCCCATCCATGTGGCTTATAGGCCTCACCTCTTCCAGTGAGGACAGCGGGAGCACTGCCTCCCCATTTTCACAGACAGTAAGGTGGGAGAGGAGCCATGACCCACACAGGTTCCCACAGGGTGTCTGACCAAATCCCCAAACTGCTTGGGGTTGTGAGGTGGTTCTAGCTAGCAAGACACTGGGAGGGGACAGCAGGGGGGTTGGGCTCACCACTTCCATGAAGAGGGTGCAGATGTCAAAGTTGGGGTTCTTCCGGAGGTTCTTGATGACACAAGATTGTACCATCTCACCCCCGCACTCCACCATGAGGCTGGGGGAGGAGACACTGGCCAGCTGGTAACTCTTCATGTTCCGCAGGCCCCACGCCAGGATCTGGGGACAGAGAGTGGGGGGAGCAGCTGGAAAGGCCCCAGGCCCCAGGGAAGGCTGGGCAAAGAAGAGGAAGGTCCAGGCTGCCCTCCGACCCCCCACGCTGGAGCCAGGCTCACCTCGATGGCAGTGCGCTGGAGAACTGGCTTGATGTTCTGGGGGACCATGTAGATGTTGGCCTCCCTCTGGGGTGGTGGGTAGGGCAGGTCTGTGTCATCCGACTGCAGGGGATGTCCGGCAGAACAGAGACAAAGGTGGGAGAAAGGCCAAGGCAGAGAGACAAGAAAGGAGGGCAGATGGAACAGAAAGGGCATGCACGAGAGACAGAGACAGAGAAGCAAGGACACCCAAGGGGGCAAATGGGCAGGCAGAGATGAGAGAGCTGGGTCAGTGTTTCTGGGCACCATCTTCTCGGTGCTACAATTTAAGCCCCGAGACCCAGGGCTCAGGTCACCCTCTCTCAAATGAACCCCAAGTTCACCCCTCTCCCATTATGCAGGCTCTGATGCACCAATGAGCTGCTCAGGGTCACCCCACCTCTGACACATGCACACACATGGGCACATACGTGCACTGCCCTCTCCATCTCGGCCCATCCACTCCACTCCTCTCTATCCCAGACAGGACCACGTGCCCCCCACTGGCCTGGTTTTCCAGCCTCCTGGCTCAGACCCTCCCAAATTACCATCTACCCTGGAGTTGCCCCCCACCCCACACCCAGACACCCATCAGGTCCTGACACCCACCTCTCATACCTATCTACCGTGAGGACAGGGTGGTGCCCTGGGAGCCAAAGAGCATCTAGCAGTAGAGGAAAGACACACAAATGCCTGTCCTCTGCAGGCACCAAAGGGGCTGCTGGGGAGGCTCCTCCACCACCACAGATCGGAGCTGAGCACAACATATGTCAGCTTGGACCTTCTAAGGGTTTTCCAAAAAGACGTGGGCAAGAATCCCCACGGAGAAGGTCACGAAAAATTACATGGGGAAGCAGGCACTACCATGGGCTAGGCAACTACCACAACCTGTGTTCTCTCAGTGGCTGGAACACAGGTCCGAGTCCTGGCTCCACCACTTACTGAGCTGGGTAGTTATTTCACCTCTCTGTGGCTCATTTTTATCTGTAAACTTGTTATTAAAAGTTATTAACCTCTAAAACTTAGTGTGAGGCTTGAAGAAGTTAATACATTTCAAATAATGTCTGGTTTGTGTAGACTCTCAATAGTAGGACTACTAGCCCACATGGCACCTCTGTGATAATTAGAGAGAGATGTCCCTTTCTGAAAGATCTTTACTTCCAGGTAAGGAGATCATCATAACTTCACTAGTTTATTAGAACAAGACACTTTACTGCCACCTACTGGAAAAGCGTTATAATAAATACAAATACATGACGTCTGCACTGGAAATCGCACCCCCTTGGACACTTGGGCAGTGCACAACCCGCACGTCCAAACACGGAGTTCCTGACCCTCAGGATACGCAACTATAATTAAAAGGGCTCTGCTGGACACTTTACAGAGCTGGCTTCATGTAATCCCACTTAATAAACAATGGAATCATTGGATTCATTCTCCAAGAGACTTGCTCCAGGTTCTTTCTCAGAGGATCGCGTGTCCATCTGCACATGCTCTGCCATGGACCGTGGGAGCAGCTGGAGCACAGTGATGATGCCGGCTCCTCGCCTCATCACTTCCCAACCAGCCCCGGCTGTCACTCCTGCCCAGTGACACACCGAGGGCGTTCCACTTCCTTGACCCACATCAGTTAGCTCAGCCCTAGAAACAGACCAGGCCTGGGTCCCAGTTGCAGCCATGCCACTTTCTAGCCATTCGGCCGTGGGCAGATGACTCAGCCTTCGTGACCCGCACCCTCACCCGCAGACCTGGGATTACAATACCCTTCGAAGTCACTCTGAGATTTCAGTGAGAGAACAAATGTGAAGAGTGTCTGGCACAGGAAGTGCTTAATAAAGAGCAGTGGCCATAGATTACTGAATTGCTACTAGTGTCACTTTTTCCCCATTGGCCTTGTTGTTGACCTCCCAGGGTGGCTTGAAGAGAGTCAAGCCACCAAAGGCATCTCTCAGAACTCTGGCTTCGTGACTCCCCCTACCTCGCCAGGGCACACAGTGAAGAAACTCACCATTGTCCTCCAGACCCACAATGAAGATGACATGACATAGGAGGAAGCACCTACATTTTTAGACTGGCTGAGAGGCAGGGCCTTCGGGAGAAAGGAGGGGTAGTGTGCAGGGCTGCCACGAGGCACAACTCCAAAGTCGGCTGCACTCATCACAGTCTGCACGAATGGTGCCCCTGGAGGGCCTGGACAGCCACCACAACGGCTGGCTGCTATGCAGGCACCTGGCTGGGAGCCCACCCTTGGCACTCCGAGGCTACCAGCTGCGGCAGCTGCACATCAAGCATTGCCTCTTTAAAGGAAGGGTGAGGCCTGAAGGCCGCTCGTGGCCTGTTCTCGGCCTGCTGCAGGCTGATGCCCAGTCCAACGTGGGCCCAGGGCCAGAAGTGCAAGATGCAAAGGGGCAAAATGAAGGTGTCGGGGAGGGAACCTCGCCCAAGCTCCCCCGGTTGGGCGACAGAAAGATAAGCCTTTCTTACATGGCTGCAACCTTCTCCCAAAATCACCCAGAAATAATCATTCATGTATTTCCTCTCAGGCCCACCTCCAGACCCCCAAACTCTGGGCACAGTCCCTTCGATCCATTTTTATCCCTCAATTTCCATGTTCTCTCTTTCCTGCCAGGCTCCCTTGAGCTCCAAGTTGATGACATTCCTCTGTGTGCTGAGGACTGGGCTCCCCATTTTCAGGAACCTGTTTACAGAGGAGGACAGGGAATGAGAACCTCAAGAAGGAGAGCTCCAGTACCGTTTGGAGGAGGCCCTGGAGGAAGAAGGCAGGTGCACACAGCTGTGGAGCGCCGCGCCCAGCACAGGCAGCAGGGAGAGACAAGCAGAGACAGTGGTTAGAGATGTGTCCGTGGAGCAGCTTCCTCCACATGAGGCCACCATCCTGACCCCGAGGCTACCTCCATCCACCTTGCTGTCCCCAGGGGTCCCAGAGCATCCTTGCTCCCTGTCATTAGTTGCCATTCCCCAGGAGCCCTGCCTCTGCAAGCCCCCCTTCCTCCAGGCCTGCAAGCTGCCATGGTAGCCCTTTGTACCCCCTCCCTGCTGTGCAGACCCGTGAAGTTATCACTGCATGTCTGTGCCTGAATACCCTCTGGCCCCACAACCCAGTCTCGTCCAGTCCTCCCCAATTTTCCACACAATTGGCCGGATATTTTCCTTCCCCCATTTAAAGATGGTCTTTCAGATCTACCTCTGCTCTTTGTCCTCTCCAGTAGCCTCCCTCCCTCACCTCTCTCCCTGAAAAGGGCTGCACCATCCACTGCCTCTCACTGCCACACATCCCTCTGCCATGTGCACTCAGCTAGGCTCCCTGCATCCCCTCCCTGGAAATTCCTGTCTCCAAAGTTGGCAATGAGCTGCTTATAACTCAACCCAGAGGCCCCTCACTCACCAGCTCTTATCTCACTTCCTCAGCAGCATCTGGCCAGCTGACCTCGGCCTCCTTCCTAAAACTGTCTCTCTGATTCCACGCGGGCCCTCTCTCTTCTCCTCTCCCCTCTGCCTGATGAGTCCCTTCCTCTGCCCAGCCTGCTGCTAAGCTTTCTGCTCCCAAACATCTCTCCTAAACGCCACACCCACGGTCCCAACCTCTTACTGCTCCATGTGTCCACTGGCCTCCCACACTGCACTTGTCCCAAATTGGATTCTCTGACTTCCCCCTCAAAACATGCTCTTCTCAAATGTCGTCTCAGAAGCCCACACACCGCAACACCCACCTCGACAACCAGGCCACAAAGCCCCATGCCGTCCTCAGCTCTCCTCCCACCTGTTGCCATGTCTGATTGATCACCCACCCAGCCTTGGCAATTCTGTCTCCTAAATTGCTTGCATGTGCACCCACCTGTCTTCTCTCCTCAGCTGGGGCCACCACCCTCTCTTGCCTGGGTTCACCAGTATCCCACTAAGTGGTGTTCTTGTACCTCGTTTTTTCACCCACTCCCACAACAAAGGCACGCTGTGAGCTGCAGCCAAGAGGCACTGTCGAAGGATGTCAGGTGCCCCGCCCACTCAGGATGGGGAACTGCTTGACGTGGCCTCCAGGAGCCCTCCTCTTCTAGTTCTTTCCGACTTCTGTCTCACCTCGCGACAGCTGACTTTCCCTTCCAGGACCCCAGAGAACGACAAGCCACCTATTCCCCTGAACATGCTCACGGCCTGCCCTGGCAGGTCCCAGGAGACATCGTGCTGTCTTTACTTGCGAGGCTTGGAGCCTGTGGGTCCTTCTGTCTGAATGCTCCTCTGCCCAGTTCACCTGCCTACCTCCTGCTCAGCTTCAAGTCTCCATTTAAATCTTCCCCGGGGCCCTGAGCTTGAGTTAAGCACCCCTATTGCCCCCAGAGCAACTTGACCCTCTCCAATTGAAAGATACATCACCCTGTGCCACCTCCAGGTGTTCATGTGTCCCCTGTTAAACCAGCAACTCTGCACACGGGGACCACAGCCGAACCCCCTGTGCAACGAGTGAAGGGTTGTGAGTGGAGAGGCGAGGGAGAGGCAGAGGGGCAAACGGGTGAGTGGGTGTGTGAATAAAGAGCTGGCTCCAGCACAGGCTGCCCTCCTTCCCAACACTCGTGTCCACTCCAGCCTGATCCTTGGGTCCTCACCAAGCCCTCCCTCCCCTGGGTCTGCTCATGGCTCCCACTGTTTGAATGGGCCTCCACTACTCTCTTCCAGAACCTAACACCTTTTTCAGGGACTAGTTTGAACATTCCATTCTCCAGAAAGTCTCCCCAGCCACTCCAGAAAATTCTTATAAGCCTACTCTCTAACTTCTCTGAATTGTCGAAGTGACCCTTGCCCGGTTTCCCAAGGTGCTGACAGCTCTCTGACATCTCACCTGTGGGTCCTATGGCCCAGGCCTAATGCTCAGCTCTTGTGCCCAAACTTCCCAACACTTTCCTAGTCTGGCTGTCCCACCACACTTCCCTCCAGGGCAGTGGTTGTCAACAGGGGCGAGCTGCAGAGGGCCTGATCACCACAGACAGGGCAAGCATGTCAGCACTGCCAGGCAGGGGTGGATGTAGACCAAAAGTGCACCAGGGCATGTGATTCAATGTCCTGTGTGTGGCAGGGGACTCTGAGGAACACAGACCTCAAGGGCACCTCAGAATATTCGCCTAATTAGATAAAGGAACATCTGACCAACCCCTTGCCCGACCACTCTCCCCACCCAGCCCTGAATGCAGGGCAGACCTGGGGCTGCTCTTCTCATGGGCTCTACGGGGCGTTGACCACGCCGCTCAGACCACGAAGAGTAGGACCCAAGGACAACAGAGGCTCTCCCCGTACCACAGCAGCATCCACTTTAATGCCCCTCCGCCTATCCATCCTGCAGGTCAGTGCGGTGCAGGGAGCCGGTGCCCAGACCACAAGGGAACTTCCTCCCGCAGTCCAGGAGCCACCACACCAGGGTGGGGCGGGGGTGGGGGGGGCATGTTGGCAAGCCCTTGTAGCCACCTAGGCCAGTCCTGCCACCAGTAGCCTGTAGACCCCCACCTCACCCAGCAAGGCACAGTGGGGGGACCCTCTGGACACTCAGACCCTCGCTCCTCAGGGAGCTCCAGGGAGGGGCGGCCAGGCGGGCTGGGAGGGCCACATTGTCTGCCTGCCCCACCCAGCTCGTTAGGAACAACATGTTGCTCTAATTACACTTCGGAGGAAAAACAGTGTTTTAAATTAAGGCCTAAGGGGAGGGATGGGGGATGGGGGACCACTGGGTTTATTTTCCTGATTGCAAAACACCAGTTTTCCTTCTAGTGGATTTGGGGGTGCAGGAGAGTACCTCGTGTACATCTCAGACTGAAAGCCATACCCTGTCACCTGGTTTTGGAAAGGTGGAGGGAGGAACCTCTGGTTGGCCCCCTGAGCCCCAGTGAAAACAGACACAGAGCATCCGGTCCCTTCTACCAGGGCTTCCCCTCCTCGGGACAGGACAGAAGCAGCTGAACCAAGGGCACTACTGCAACCACACCCCCTTCAGTGGTCGGGACCACGAGCCCTGAGCCTGCCTGAGGCCCCCAGGTGGGTCTTCCTCTGCACGTGCCACATCCTAGGGACCCCTGGTTTTCAAGGAACGAGCCGCCATCCCCTCTTCTGCCACGTCTGTGTGCACGTGTGTGTGTTCTTGTGAGTGTGCACTCTCGCACACACTCAAGCATGCATATGCACACTCTCCAGTTCTCAGGAAATCTAAAATTGCAGTTTCTTTGAACTCATTCCCCTTGGCAGCACGGACGGCCTTTGTTCTCCAGACAAAAAGGAAAAGAAACGAGACAGAGGGCTCAGAAGAGGCGGGAGAAGGAGGGAGAGAGGGAGCCAGGGCCAAGGAGCAAACCAAGAAAGAGGGAAACTCGAAGGGAGAACGGGAAGAGGGGAAGGCGAGCAGGGCTCAGGAAAGGGGGGAAACAGCAGGCGACACAGAAAGGTGGGCTGGGGAGCCAGGAGGGAGGCACCTCTCCATCCATGCCACCACCCGTCTCCCAGACATCACCAAAGCCTCAATGACAGGACATGACAGTCCCTCTTCCCTGCCAAGGCCCCCGGAAAGGGACCCTCCAGACAGGCATGAAGCCCGAGGGAGAGAAAAATCTCACCCAACAAACTTGCCCCAAGTGATGACATGTCCCCAGCCCAAGGCCCTGGACCCCCACCCCCACTCCTCTGCCAATCCCTATGTCAGAAGCGAGCTCAGTGTTACCTCCCCCAGGAAGCCATCCCCACTGCCCTCGGCACAGACGGACGGCACCTCAATTCACCCACAGACACTTTGTCCCCCACACCGCCTGGGGCTGCACTGGCCCAAAGGCACTCCCCACGGGACAGAACATCTTAAACCATCCTTCAGAGTCACCTAAGCCTCCTAGCTGATCTCCTCCTGCCCTTTGCTTCCCAATCTACACCCTCGACTCAGCCAGACAACTTCCTAATCACCCATCTGCCTGCTCTGCTCCAAGAATCTAGTTCCTGGCGTGGCTCCTCACGGCCCTCCAGGATGGCCGGAGCAACCCTCTCGGGATCATGCTGGTAGCCTAGATGGGGCTGAAGGGTGCATATAAGGCGAGAGCTTAGCTAATGCAAAGAGAGAAAATTCCTACGCAGGCATCGAGCTTCCTGCAGGACCAGTGGCAGCAGCAGGACCTCCCTGCCTCCACCCAGGACCAGTGGATTCTGAAAAGCAAACAGGACCCAGGACCTTGGAGTGAGGCTTAGCATTCAAGTGCAGGAGAAATGGATGAGCTAGGGGCCCCAGGGCTGGGGTGGGGGCCCCTGGGAATGAAAGGGTCACAAGGTCATCTTCTGGGGTGGTTCTCTGGATAAGTTGTTACTCCTTTCATCATTGAGAGCCTCAGACCCTCTGACTCTGATGGCTTAGCTGGGCCCTGTGCCCCAGAGCTCCCCAGGACTGGCTCCCGCCTGACCCTGGTGACCTGCACCCTGCCTCAGCCTGTGGCTGGCCCTGCAGCGGGACACTTGGCCCTCTCTGGGGTCTGGTCCAAAAGCTATAAATTTGGATTTGCTTCCTGACAAGGAGACCACAGCCAGACCCTTGCTCTCAGAATCTGAGCCTTCACTGTTATATATTACAAATCCAGTTATTAAGGATTTTAACTTTTTTTTAATAACTCATCCCTGGGCTGGGTCTTTTTTGGAGCAGGCTGTGGGTTTTGGCCACAGAATGCTCTCAATCGAGAGAGGGCTCCATGCTGCTTCCCTGGACAGGGCTCTGCTCCTCTTTCCAAATCGGCAGTCTTTCCAACTGCAGCCAAAAGCAGGAGGCTGCCTGTCAGGCGCAATTACGGCCAGCTCGTTTGGCGGACCCCACCTCGGTCTGGGAGCAAAAGGAAGTGAGGTAAGGGGCGCGGGGCCTGCAGATCCCACATCCTGACCCTGCATTTCAAGTCCAAATTGTACTGAAAATGTCAAATGGTGTTCGCTCCCCGCCTGGGGATTCCCTGAAGGCAGGAAGTAGCTGTCCTTTGCCCAGCCTCCCATCTGAGCAGGGTTCTCAGTCCTGTCTCTCCGCCCAGGACTCTGCCCTACTCACTCACAAGGGCCCGCACACAGATGTGCTGCTCACCCCCTGTGGCACAGGACGAAATCTTGCTTCATCTGGATACAAACCCCAAACTTCTAGAATCTAGGAATCCCCAGCCCACCCCAGCCCCTAAACCATTCAGGCCCTAACCTGGTGTTAGCAAACCTTTTGTTAGCAAAATTCCAACCTTCTTCCTACAACAATGTCTGGCTAATGCCACCTCCACCAGAAAGGCTTCCTTGGCTACTCTGGCCTCCTATGAACATTTTCTTCTTGAAAACATTCCACCTGGTCCTCAGCCAGATGAGACTGAGTTTTGCTGTCCATGAGGCCTAGATGGATCTGGCCTCCAGGAGGGCAGCAAGCCTTTTGCAGCCAGAATCATTCCAGGATGCACCCCAGGCAGCCCTGGACCCACACCAAGTGCGGGGAGTGAAATTCGGATATGTCTCCGTGTGACAGATGCCCGCTGGGGAACCAGGAACCCTGATGTCTCCAGGGCACATGCTCAGAGGACAGCCCTTACCTTCCCTCTGCCTCTGCTCACCCACCCCCAACCACGGCCACGGCCGTGAGGGGCCACCTCACCTCTTCCAGGATCCGTGATGTATCCTGTACCTGGACCACATCATGGGAGGTTCCACATCCAGGAGGTGGTAAAAAGAGGAGATGAGGAAAAATAAAAGTTCACCATTAGTGACAAGGAAGACTAGGCTGGGGCAGAGATCAGCACACTAGACATCTAAGAGGAGCCAACAGAAACCACCTGCCATCCAGGCAAGCACCAGGTGCTTCTAGCCACACCCTCCACAGGGTCCCTGAGAAAGAAGGTGTGATGGACATCGATGCAGAGGGACTAGTAAGAGAGAAGGCCAAAACAAGCAGAGAGCCCAGGCATCTCTAGAAGTGACAGGAGAAAAGGCAAATGGCAAACAGGTGGTGGGAAGGTCCCAGACCTGTGCCGAGACCCCAGGAGGCACAAAGGCCTCAGGTCCTGGAGCTGCTGCTCCTATCAGAGCCTGTGAATTTGGGGAGCCAAGAAGAAACAACCAGATCCCCAGGATCTGGCAGACTGCAATCAGGAGTTTAAACTTGATAGGACAAGGAGAAAGACAAGGTTGGGTGGGGGGAGAAACAAAGGGTAGAGTGGGAAGCAGGGGTGAAGGAAGGCCTACATGGTAGGTAAGAGCTGTCTGCAAATTGTGGGCTGCCTCTTAAAGGGGAGGCATCCAAACACAGCCCGGATGGCCACTTCTCAAAGCTGCAGCTGAGTCGGGCCAAGAATAGTATTTCCTGAGGCAAATTACCCTGGGTACTACCGTGAAGGGTCTGCATTTTCTACCATGACACCCAGGAGAAGGGAGGAGAGCAGAGACAAGGGACCAAGTCCCCACCACTAGAGGAAGAAAGAAAACCAGTTACATGGGGATCGGTGAGTTGGGAGCTGTGGTCTAAATCAGAGCTTCTGAAACTCAAGTACACATCAGAATCCTCAGAGGGCTTGTAAATACGCAAGTTACTGTGCTGCCCCTCGGATTCGGCTGCAGCAGTTTGTAGTGGGATCCAAGAAGGATTTCCCGCAACATCCCAGGTGATACTGCACAGAGAACCACTGGCCAAAATGGATGGCTCTTGGCCCTAGCTGCACATTAAAATCCCCAGTAGCTTTGAAAACTACCAATGCCTGGGCTGCACCCCGAAAGACTCTTTCATTTGGTCTGGGGTGGGGACTGTTAAAGCTACCCAAGGGTTCTAACACACAACTTAGCTAAGAGCCACTGGACTGAAAGGTCATGAGGACCCTTCAGTCTGAGAGTGTGATCTCACTCTCAGGGAAGACGGGCAGAGAAGGCCTGAGCTGGGCCAGGGCCCCAGCCCCTGCCCACACCATCCCAGGGCCCCACTGAGCCCTCCTCTGCCTGAGGGCAGGAAGGCAGTGGTGGACGCCTGCTGCCCTTTCTAGCAGAGAACAGAGCTAAAAACACAGGGAGGCCAGCAAGTAGCTTGAAGAAGAAAAACTGAGAGCAAGACTTACCTCAAAACCAGGAATATGGTGGATGGCCGGCTAGAGGAAAGGAAAAGAGCTTTGCTCAGGTGCTTGTTGTTTGGGGCTCCCCTCACCCTCCTTTCTGCCCTGGCCAGGCAGAGACATCTCCAACCACAAAAGGACACTCAGGGAACATGTCAGTGATCAGACAGTCTAGTGGTCTGCAGACACTCTTCCTCAGAGACCCAGGGTCCCCCCAGAGCTGCCTGGCAGTTGGTGGGAGGGTGCAAGGAGAAGCCTGGCTGACCACATGCTATGTCCCCCTCCAGAACTTCCCCTGGGGCAGCCCCACTCCTATCTGGCTTACGCACCGGGGCTCAATCACAGTAAGAGCAAGTTTGATGATATAGTTCTAACCAAACCCACTATTTTATACCAGGGTCACACAACTAGGCTGTGGCTCAGCCAGCGCTGGGGCAGAGGTCCTGCCCTTGCCTTGGAGTTCCACATTGCACCCTCATCACTATTAAGCCCCTGCTCCCCGAGCAGACCCTCCTCCCAGAAACAACCTCGAAAGAGGGCCTGGGAAAAATGCATCCAAAGACCAGGGGACTCAGACATTCCAACACAGTCCAGATTCTAGCATTCAGCCCCCAAATTAGACCATGTGCTGACTTGGGGTTCAGAAAAGATGGCTGAAGCCAATCTGAGCAGGAGGCCTGACTTCATGCCGTGCTCCCCGTTGAGTGTAGGTCCCTGGTCGGGGAAGAGGACGTATGGGCAGCCCCCTGCCCTCCATCGGGCGGTCCCTGTGTATTCCCCCTGGTACTCCCTGCCTCCTGGATCTGGACGTGGCCAAGCCTCACCTTTTCCCTCTGGATGAGCTCAAAAGAGGCCAGCAGTTCACCTGCTGGTTGGCTTCCCCTAGTCAGGGGGAACCAGGATAGCCGGGGCATCCGGTCCAGACTCGGCAGACAGATGCAGCGTCCCATAAACTCATCTGCACCCTGGACAGGGAGTGGAGAAAGAAGAGTCAGCACCCCCCAGCCCAGCGTTCCAGCAGCCTCAGAGAGATCACCAGACTCACACCCAGCCTTCTGAACTCCAAAGGGCAGCCCCTGGTGCTGAATGGCACACTCTGCCCCCACAAAAGGATTCAAGAACGACAGTTGGGGCCCTAGTCACTGCTGCTAGATTCGAACTCCCATCCTCTGTCTGTCCAACTAGCATTGGCCTTGTTTTACTATAATCAAGATCTGAGCCCATTAGACACAGAGTGACAGGTCCTAGTATTTCTCTAATGGCCTCACAGAACAGGCATTTGACATTTCCAAGGACTTTTCTTCTGTTCATTTCACCTTTAAATTCTACCACCTTCCAAATAGGACAACTGCAATCACACGATCACACTCATCAAATTATAAGTCTTGCTAAAATGATGTTTCATCTTGTTATTCCTCTCTCAGGCACCTTCCAACGCTCCCTACTGCCTAGAGGGATGCCTAGACTCCAACCCTTCTCCTGGGATGGAAGGTGCCCTCACCTCTCCTGCCTTGCCTCCTTCCCTCCCCACACATTCTCTGCTCCAGCCTGCTGGTCTCTGTTGGCCTCCCACCCCTGGCCTTTGCACGGGCCATTTCCAGCCATACTGCCCTCTACCCTTCTTAGCTATAACTCAGAGCCCTGACCAAGGTAGGCCTCTGGCATGGCCCTCTGTGACCTTGCTGGCCTGTGGGTTCTGGCCTCATGGTTAGCTTTCTCCAGGGCAGGGGCAGAAGATAGAATGTGGGTCTCAGCCAGCTGTTGCTGCAGCCCTCATACCGCCTGGCAATTTATTCAAGACTCTCATATGGAGAAGTCCAGAACAGGTCTGAGAGGTATCACCCCTGCAGTCACCTCACTGCTGGGGACATTGAAAAGAGCCATTGTGGAATAGCCACCAGGTGCTGCTTAAATGCCCACATCAGCAAGTGACAGTCTAGCACCAACCACTCAGAGCAGACACCAGCCACCGCACTGGGAGGGCTCCTGAGGGCCCCTCTGGGCCAGGTGTCATCCCGTTGGTGGGTCATGGAGAGGCTGGGGGAAGGGGAGTCCTTGCAGAGCTCAGGCAGCCAGGACAGCAGGAGCTCAGGGCAATGGGTACTTGCCAGCAACATGGACTTGTTTGGCTGTGTTAACAATGAGCACAGCCTCTGCTCTCCCCCAGGCCCTCAAAGCCCCACCCATCCAGAAGAGGCCATGGTTTGCACAGCTCCTTCGACTTAGTCCCTTGGTCCTCCTGGCCCTCCTGCCACCCTCCTCTTCCTGCCACAAAGGCACCAGACCCTGTGCTCTTCCCCAGATGCTCCCAAGTAGACTCCAGTTGCTCACTGCCTCCCAGAGAGCCAGCTTTTGCTTCCACGGGGAGAGCTGTCAGGTCAGCCTCCCTAGCCCAGGCCTGTATTGCCCACTGCCAGCTGGCCCCCACCATCTGCAGGACAACCTCAACAGCTTCACCTTCCCCAACCCCCTTCCTCTCACCCTCCCAGGGCACCTGACATCCAGTCATGGCAACTCTTTCTGGAAACATCTTCCAGACCCTGCCTCCTCTCCGTTCATCACAGTGCAGCCCCCAACTCAAAAGGTGACCTCTTTGCCACATGCCCCACCAGCTGACCCAGTCTCTCTCTTTTCTCTTCTTTTTAAAACATTACTCTGACCTTGTCACTTCCCTGCTCCCCTGGTCTCATTCTCTTTCTCCTCCTTCCCCACCTGCCTTCCTCTGTCTCCTGGTCCCCCACTTGCCCCCAGACTATGCTGGAATGTCCTTCTACCTCCTCCCAGTGCCCAGTCCCACGTTCTTTCCAGGGTCTACATCTTCTGTATCTTCTGCACCACCTTCCTGCACACTCCAGCCCAAGGTGAGCTGTCCCTCCCAGAAACCTTCTAGAGCTGCACCATCTAATACTACAGCCACTAACCACCCACTGCTTTTAAATTTAAAGCTTAACTAATTACAACTAAATAAAATTCAAAATTCAGTTTCTCACTTGCATTAGCCATATTCCAACTGCTCAAGAGCCACGTGTGACTAGTGGCTCCCAAAGCATTTCCATCAGCAAAGGACACTCCGTGGGACAGCTCTGTTAAAAGGACCCTGGCTATGCCTCAGAGCCAGCTGGCACTCAGGGACCCACTGTCTCCCGGGAGGATTCTCTGTCTGTGGGTGAGTCTCAGTTCCCATCTACACTGGGAAACTAGAGTGGGGCCACCCAGCCCAGCACACAAGTGCTTAATAAATGTCAACACAGCTCTCTGATGAGAAGGGACTGGCCCGTGATCATATAAGCAAGTTAGAGGCAGAGAAAACCCAGGCTCTTGACTCACAGCCAATGGCCCGTTCCAGATCTGTCCCCTCTCTCTGCCGCGGGTACCGCACATGTGCTAGCAATCCATTTTTAATCACCCTAAAATAGTTTTAACCACTCTGTAGTCTGTGAGTTCAGCCATCAGTCCCAGCCCTAAGGCACACCCATCTGGTTGGGGATCTGTCCCTCACAGCAGCATCTGTCCCTGGGCCCCTGGAGGAAGCGGACAGTGAGGGGATAAAGGAGGAAGGCGGGCAGACTCACATAGGTGTCGTGGTCATAAAGCTCCACCACAATACTGGGTGGCTGCTCAGCGATGCTGGCCAGCTCGCCAAAGATCTCAATCTCATAGAAGATCAGCGTCTGGTCCCAGGTGGGGTTCAAGGTGTTCTTCACCACAACTGTTTTCTGGCTCTGGTGCAGGAAGGAGACGATTGCATAGGGATCTGTGTGGGCCGGGCACAGGGGATGGAGACAGGACACAGCACAGACCGTGAGAGTTGCCTGCTCAGGAGTCACTCAGGCCACAGAGCTAGAGCAGAGCTGTGGCTGACACTCTGGTGCAACAACCTCAGGCAGGAGTCCATCTCCCCAGGGCTCTCCCTGCCTTTCCTGAGCATCAGACTGGCGAGCCACAACAGGGGAATGGAGCCTGGATCCAGGCAGGGAGACACAGAAATCCAGAGACCTTCCCCTTCTGGGCTCCTTTTTTGGCTAGCCTCCAGGGGTCAAGGTGCAGGAAGAAGAAGCAAGTCCTTGGATGGCTCATTCATTGATTCATTCATTCATCCAACAAGCATTTATTGAGTGCCTTCTGCATGCCAGGCTAGGGGCCGAGAATATAATTGGAGCAAAACCATAATCCATACAAGCAAACATAAAATGACAATTTTGATCAGTGCTTTGAAGACTAGATATAAGATGCAGTAGAGTACATGAGGGGAAAACTTCTTTGAGGAAAGGAGAGTGGAACAGAGATGTTGGTGCCATCAGCGTGGTGTACCTAGGGCTGCATTTCAGCAAATTCACTCTGGCTGCCACCCGGAGAACAGACTGGAGGAGACAGAGCAAGTGCAGGGAGACCGAGTATGAGGCTACTGGAAGAGTCCAGGCAGAGGTGGTAGGAGCTTAGATAAACAGCACGTGGACCCAAGGGCTGTTCAGTGGCTGGTGTGAGAGGAGCCCTAAGGCCCCTGAGGCTCTTACTGTCCCCAAGCTCCTTTCCAGCATGCCAGCCCCAGCCACACTTGTCTAGGTCTAGGTCTAGGACTAGTACGAGACCTGAGAATTTGCATTTCTAACAATTTCCCAGGTGGCACCAATCTGCCTTCCAGGGCCACACTCTGGAAACTAATGCAAGAGAAGGACCCATAGGACTGAGTGCACGTGATTTAGGAAAGGAGCAGAGGGCTTGTAGAAGGGGCTCCTCCCACTTCCCCCATTATGGTGTCAGCCAGGAGAAAGGGTCCAGCTTGCTGCCAATTTATTGGACTCAAAATGCCAAATGCTGAGGGCATGTGACATGGAAAGCCTAAGGATGCAGGAGGCTGGCAGCAGGGTGCTAGGTAGACGTCTGGGAGGGCGGAGCCCAAACGCTCCAACATGCGCCCCACCCTTCGCACCTGCTCTGTCCTACAATATCTTGCATCCTCTGAGCCTCACAGTCCAACCCCAGTGATGTCTCTAACTACCTGCCTGTGGCCTCAAAAGGGTGCTGGGATGTCCAGCTACAATCCTGGGGCTGGCACAGGAAGGTAGAATTTCCCCACAAATGGGAGGTAAGTAGGGCAAGCTCCTTGGCCTTAGGGAAGACAAGTGGCACACCATGGTCCCTGCACAGGAGGCAGCAGATAGCGGCCAGAGGAAAGGTGGGAGGGCTGAGGTGGGCAACAGGAGGACTCTCACCAGATGATGGGTGCAGCAGGGTCTAAGATTCTGACTGTCACCTAAGGGGCCAGTTTTAAGAGAGGAAAGGGTCTGAGTTAGGAGGCTGAACCTGGGGGCTAAACAACACTGGGTTCAGCTAACACCCAGCAGCCACCAGCCTGGGCGGGCTTGTTAGCTACAGGCACAAAAGCACACTGGGGTCAATCCTGGAGGACTTCCTGCAGGAAATTGGTTTGGAACCTGATTCTAGGGGTAGAAGAGAGCAATGGAAGGCTCTTGGCAGGGGAAGGGGCAGGGAAGAAATGCCACCACATCTCACCACCCAACTTGGTAGGAGCCTTCCTGGCATGGGGCTCCCCCTTCCATGCACCAGCCTGGCAGGGCTGGCCCAAGCCCTTCCCTTCCTGTCCCTGGCAGGGCGCAGCGGCGTCTGTGCATTTAATGAAACCGTCTGGCTGTGATACCATCAGCTCCAAGCTCGGCAGAGAACCTCTCCCTGGTTCCAGTAAAGGAAAGAGGGAGCGTTCCGATAAATAAAACCATATTAGAGAGCCGGCGAAAAAGCCCCTTTTGTTCCCACCCCCTGTGCTTCCCAACGCTTTATTTTTATAAGCGTGCGAGGCCCAGACCGACCACGTTTACACAAAGATCACAATTGCACATTGTAGCGGCTGTGCACACTGTATTGGTGTTGGCAGCACCCCCCACGCTGGCCCCTGAGCAGGCCGACTCCTTCCAGCAGCCCCATCAGCGCAGGCAATGAGCTCAGCGCTGGGGGACAGGGAGGGGGTGGCTTTCAAACAAAAATCACCCAGACCCACACACGCACCCCGCCCGCCCATGGGAGGAAAAAACACACAACAAAGGCATTGTAAAGAGCAGGCCTGGAGGCCTGGGGCCTCAGACACTGGGCTACTGTGTGCTGGGGCCTGGCCTCTCCCCCCACAGGGGCCAGCCCCTCCAAAAAAAAGAAACGAGTGGGGGTGGGTGTTGCTGAAGCAAGGTGGTCAGATGAAGGAAAGCCAGACAGACACACAGACACATCCCTCTTCTAGAAAGCCAAGATCAGGGAGAAGCAGATCCCAAGGAGGGGTGAAAGGAAGGTGAAGGGCTATCTCCTCCCTGTCCACCCCAGCCCAACACTCCCTGCAGGGACAGCGCACCACAGGACAGGGCCATCCTGCCAAGCCGTAGGGAGCACCACCAAAGTTGAGGTGAAATGCCGCTGGATCAGAGCCCCCTAAGCTGCCCCGGGAAGCTCTGGCCACGAATGCAGATGGTTTGACCCAACTGCATCCCCACGAGAGGCCTTAGCAGGTGATTCTTTTGCTGGACCCGGAGTCCCAGCGCCCCAGCTCTGCTGCTCAGACCTTCCTGGAGTCCGGGGAGGACACTTCTGCATTCACCATACACGAAGCTTTCCTCATGGGCCCCCACGAACCAGGTCAGACCACCGGAACAGGGCACAGGGCAGGCAGCACCATCCCACTGGTTGGAAGAGGGAGCTGTGCCCCAGGAAGACAAAGTCCCATGCTCATGCGTGGCCAGGACTAGCCACCATGACTCCTAGCCGAGTGCTCCTCCGCCATGTTCATAGGAAAGGGGTCCCTAGGAGGGAGTGGACTATATCCCGAGTAAGTGACTACAAATGAAAGCTGTAATGACAGTACCATCTTTGCTATAAAGTTAAGAAAAATTGTTTAGATTTACAAAACCCAGTGTTGGCAAATACTTGATGAACTAGGTATACTCTCCTTTAGTGCTGGACGCAATTCAGCAACTCTTCAGGAAAGCAATTGGGCACTATGCCCAGGAAAACATAAAACTGTTTATACCCTATTTCCCATATTCCTGGGAATCATCCAAATTAACCAAAAACCTATATGTACAAAGATGCTCACTCTGGCGTTAGTTGTCATCCATCATTCATTCAGGATACAATCACCGACTAACGAGCATGAGGTAGGTAAGCTTGGCGCTAGGAACATGGAGCGGAATGAGTCTCCGTCCAGCCCTTAAGGTCATGCCTACCGGTCGGAGGCGGTAACCAGGCAACAGTCACAGTCCAAGGTAAGGTTTGCCTTAAGAGTGGAGTGCATCAGGTGCAAGAGTGACAGGGGCGCCCAGTGTAGCCAGGTGGCACCAAGTCAGTCTTCCCAAAGGGGGTCTCCTACCCCGCATCTCAGGAATGTGGAAGTTACCAAGGTAGACCAGGGAAAAGCAGCTGCCTAGGCCCTACCACAGATGAGCAAAGGCACCAAAGCACAGGGATGCTTGGGAGACAGCCAGGCATGGGTCTGGCTGAGGGAGGGAAAGAGCACCGGGCCATGGGGACAGAGAGAGGAGGAGGCAGGCAGATCACAAGCGGTCCTGGATTCATGCTGAGCACCTTGAACTGGACCCTGTGTAGATCAGTGCTTCCCAAGGTGTGCTAATGAGCGCTTAAACAATCCAATGGGCCCCTTTTTCTGCAGCCAGCTCAGAGCCCCTCCGTGCCACTGTGTATTATAAATCTCTCAATGGGCGGTGTTTCTCAGTCTCTTTTGCTCAGGAACCCTTTTTAAGTGGAACATTTCACAAGCCTCCAATGCACTTTGGAAAACAGCTCCTTAAGCTCAACCAGAAAATCCCCGCAACCAGAACCAGCCTTAACAGAAAGCTGTGTTTCCAATGAGCAGTCCCCACCTGCAGTACAGACATGGGAAGCCCAGAAGCAAAAATGCCCCAGCCCCACCCAGGAAAGAGTGTGGATCTGGGAAACACTAAAGTGCTGGTCCCCAGAGAAGTAACCTCAGCTGTGGGCAGCCACAGTTCATCAACCCTCGCTCCAGTCTGGCCCAGCAGCAGCCCCCCAGGACCACCCAGCTGGCACAGCTTTGACCTTCCCAGGAACCATGAGGCCAACAAAGTGAGCACAGGACCTTCTGTTTCCTTGACAGATACCCCACCCCCTTGGCAACTGGTCCACTCACCATCTCTCATTCCCTTGGTTAGCCAGGTCAGGCTCCCGAGCCCACTGACCTGTGGGACTCTCAAAGACAAGCCTCTGGGTCCCTCACACCAAGGGCCATTCTCTGGAGTGTAGTGACCTCAAAACAGAGCTGCCCAAGGGTTGTGCATCTTGGTGGCAGTTCCATAAGCAGAGCTTATGGCTGCTTCAAACCACAGCAATGCTGGTGTCCAGCTGGGGCAGGGGCAAAGGAGACGGCCACCTCTCCAGCTCCCTTTGAGAAATAACATCCCACCATGAAGAGCAACTTCAGGGAAGTGACTCCGCCCATGAGGTATGGGGTTGAGGTCATGAGGCCTCTAAGTCCTCTCAAGTCATATCTTTTCCACTCAAGGGAAGTCCAGTGCCTTCTCCAGATGCTTACCAAGCAGTGGCAACCCCAGCCCTGTATCAGAGAAAAGTCGTTTGAATGAAACATCATCCTACATTTCTTATGCCTGGTCACTACACAGGCCACACACCATAACCACATGCCACACGTGCCCCTCCAGTGGTCCAGAGACTTGTGCTGGACACACACTCAAACCCCACCCAAGTGACATCCTCAGGCAGCCTGGACCACAGTATCTCCACAAGTCTCCCTTTCCCAGCTGATGTTTCAGCAAATGTTTCCTGGACAATTCCTATGTGTTCCCCCAAACTCTGGGCAGGCAGAAGGCAGCAGACACAGCCGGGTCTCCAGGCATCCTCAAGGCCTACATACAGGGGACAGACAGGGAGCACAGCTTGGGGCCACTGCAGCCAGCCCCTGTGGGGCAAGGCCCAGAACGCCACTGGTCAGGGCTTCCAGAGGAAAGGACTCTCTGCCCCGGACCCCCAGTGGGCCGGCCGGACCATGGGACGAGCCACAGACTCTGTGCTGGACCCTCCCCTGGCCCCAGACATTCTGGATTCACACAGGAGTTTCCTCTGAGAAACGCCAGCCGGCGGCCATACACAGCCTCCGGCCGCCAGCCACCCCAGGGTCAGTTCCAGGGGAGAAATTGCTTTGGTTTAGAGTTTGGGAGTGAAAATAAACACTCTGGGTTTTATAGGTTCACCCGTGTTGGCTGCTGCTTTCCTTGCCAGCAGCTGCTCAATCAGGCCTTTCATTCAGAAGCCAGTGGCCTCTGAGGAAGCCCGGGGCAGTGCCCTCGAAGCTCAAGGGATGTTTATTTGGGGGAGGGGGTGGGGCCAGGACGGAAAGTGTGACGTCGCTGTAGGCCAGCATGGGGCTGACGCAGGCCTGCAGTCACTAGAGGGGCACACTGACGCCCAGCACGGGTTCCTGCGAGGAGTTCTCTCCCTGCGGGGTCGCCCCAACCTGGTCCACAGAGCACTGGGCCTCCCACCTGAGCCCCACCTCACCACCGCCCCACACAACTGGCCACCTGCACCCCCACCTCTCCCGCCTTCTCCAAATGAAGAGGAAACAAGGTTGGGAATTAGTTGACTTTTTTTTTTCTCAAGGTACATTCTAAGTATCAGAAAGCCTCCTGGCAAAGGTTCCCAAAGAGTTGCAGCTGCCTGCCCCTGGCCTGCCAACGCTCGCCTGCTGGTTCTGAGTACACTTTGCAGAGGGCACTCTCAGGACCCTGGACCCAAAGCACAGAGAAGAGATAGTTCTGTGTACCCACGCCTGGCTGCACAGGGCTGGAGAACAGGTCCCTGAGACGGGGTGGGTGGGGGGCAGGGAATGCAGGGAAGCACAGCTGCTGGGAAGAAAGAACCAGAGAAGTCCCCCTGCCCCCCACAACCCTGCACAGTGGGGAGGGGGCTGGCCTATGGCTATGAGCTGAGGAGTCATTCTGTGAACAGATCAATCTCAAGCAGAACTCAGTTCTACTCAAGCACTTGAAGGATGATATGTCACCTGTCAAGTATTTTGACTCAAGCAATTGAATTGAGCTGTCTGTCTCAGCTTCTGTACCTATGAAACAAGGATGTTAAATACCTACTTCACAGGAGACCCCTTATCAGGGGTGCATGAAATAATGTCAGTAACACACCAGGGCTCCCAGTGAGTGGTTCAGTGAAGTGTTCATTCTTGAGACATCCAGTGCTGCAGGTTCAAGGGTAAGACAAGACCCCTTCCCGGAGGAGCTCACAGTTGCAGTGGGCGGTATGTGGCAGAGGTAGGTGGTAACTGATGTGTGTCGTGGGTCAGGGCTCTGAGAGAGGTGCCGGTGAAATGCTGGCCAAGTGCTGACAGCCAGCTCAGCTCAGGGAAGAGTCAGGGGCATCTGGGCTGGGTTTTGAAGAATGAATAGGAGTTCACAGTGTTAAAAATAGAGAGAGGCCCTGGCTGGCATAGCTCAGTGGATTGAGCGTGGGCTACGAACCCAAGTGTCACAGGTTTGATTCCCAGTCAGGGCACATGCCTGGGTTGCAGGCCACAGCCCCCAGCAACTGCACATTGATGTTTCTCTCTCTCTCTCTTTCTCCCTCCCTTCCCTCTCTAAAAATAAATAAATAAATAAAATCTTTAAAAAACAGAGAGAGAATGCATTCTAGGCAAAGAGAACACTGGTACAAAAGCAAAAAATATGGTAAATGTTGACAAAAGCAGGTGGGGCCAGAGCTAACGGATAGAGGGAATCGGGACAAACAGAACTGGCAGTGCACACGGGGTCAGATCACACAAGAGTCATCTGCCAGGCTGAAGAGTCAAGGATTTGCGCATCAGTGTCTACATTTGAAATCAGGGGGTGATACGACCAGATCTCAGGGGCAATGCAGAGGGAAGCAGGGAGGTCAGGAGATGACCACAGTATCCAGATACAAAGGGGTAGGGTCCATTCTCAGGGACAGCAAGAGAGTTTCAGCAGCCAAAATCAACAGGACTGGGTGACTGACTGCTGGTTCCCAGCCTGACGGGTAACAGTGTGTGCCAATGGGACACCCCGACCAAGGCTGGACACGCAGAGGAGGCCTGGACTGGGGCGGGGCGGGGAGCGGGCTGTCATAAGAAGTTCAGTTTGGACGGATGAACTGAGGTGTCTCTGAGGCATCCAGGGGGACATACCTAAGATGTGGCTGGACAAGACCTAGAAACTTCCCTAACGTGAGTGGTCACTGAAGTGGGGGAGCAGAGGAAGGGGGCCCCAGTGCCCAGAGAAGAGGACTCAGACCGAATGTTGGGAATATCGGGCTCAGAGGGCAGTGAGCACCCGGGTAGGAGCAGATAGAGTATAAGGAGGCTGCAAGCAACCCCGGAGAGAGGGCACTCTGGGGCCAAGGCCAGAGGGGCTCTCAGGAGGGGATGGTCAGTAAAGCCAAACCCTGCAGGGGGGTCAAGCAAGCCACCTGACAACTAGGAAGCCATAGTGACCCTGGCAAAGGAGCCACCTCACAAACAGCAAACACAGCCCCTCACCAGCAGGAAAAGCCCCGCGCTCTATTCCCTGGGGTCCAAAGGCCCAATGGCTCAGTTCCCAGCTCTCAGTCCCTGGTCCCTGGCTTTCCTCCCTTCTGCCACCTACCAGAAAAAGAGTCCTTGTCCATCGCAGGCAGGTCCCGGGCCTGGTACACGTAGCAGCGTAGATGGTAGCGGTTCCCATCTGCACCGGGGAAGAAACAGAGATGCCAAGTGAGGGGCTGGAGGTGGTGAAGAGCTGGAGGAAAGGGTGGAATATGTCCCTAGGAAGGGCAGCAGACAGAAGGGCTAAATGACAGAAATGACACGTCACACTCTGCAGAAGTGGGCCACTCACAGAGTCAGCACAGACCGCATCTCAAAGGTGGACACCTGAGCGATATGTCCTTGGGCCTTGCAAGACTTGGGGAGAAGGGACCGATGAAGAGGAGAATGGGGAGAAGACAAATGGGTGATGGGATAAGCCAGAATGCACAAGACCTGGAATGCCCGATTTGAAGCTTCCAGTTGACACACACACCATACATAAACGGCACACACCGCCAGGCTCACAGACCCAGTTCTCCACAGCGCCCCATACGCAGCTGACCACAGCCCTGAACAAGCAGAGGCGTAAGGCCACACACCCACCCACGACCCCCTTGAAGCATCACTTACAGTCGAAGATGCAGGAAATCGTGGGTCTGTTCACGCCAAAGCTCAAGGTGGAGACGGACACAGAATCCTCACTCCTGTCATCCACCACACCACCCTGGAGACACAGAGCTGGTCACAACAGAGTCTGACCCCAAGCCTGAAGGCGACAGGGAGACTGACTCAGACAGTCCAGTCTCCGGGTCAGGAGATCCCTAGACAATGCTCCTCAGCTGCAGAGAGCTTGGCCACCAGCCTCTGACTTCACTCTAGGGTAGCTCATCCTCTCCTATGGACCACATACTCCAAAGTCAAGTCCACAGAGAAATTGTTTCCCTCTCTTACAGAAACCAGACAAGCCAGAAGGGAGGTTTGAGTTGCTCCAGTCCAAGAGGTTGGAGTTTGACAGGAGGAAGGACTGTAAGAGGACCTGCGGAGAAAGCCCAGTGGTAGCCTGCCCACTGGGGTGAGTCACGAACAGTGAGAGTCTGGAGGGCCCGTCCAGTGTCCCTGTCCATCCCGTGTGTCTGGAGACAGTGCTGGTGGCAGGGACACACAGGCACTGACCAGGTGCCCAGGCTCGGGCTGAGGCCAGGGGCAGGGACAGGAGCAAGAGGCAGCGTAGGTCTGCACTCGGGCCCAGAAACCCGTCTGTGCATATAGCCCTCCACCACTCCCCTCCCCGTGTCTGTGTTGGAACTGGGCTCCAACCGCTAGACAGTAAAGCACCCCCCCGGACCTGATGCCCACCTCTCTGTGCACTGATCCTCCCCTTGCCACCTCTGCTACCCTGTCGCCCCCTCACTGGGGTCCTGTACAGTTTGGGAAGCTTGGGGACCCAATAGGGACCAAAGCCCATACGAGATTAGGAAGTGGCCCAGTCACACCCCAGCCCAGCCTCTCAGACACGGTCTTCTGTGCCATCAGGCCCACCAGCATTCCTTGGCCAGGAGCCCAGCAGAGGGCTGGGCAGATCTGGGCAGCACTCCCACACTGTCCACTCCCTCTGCTGCCACTCATGTTTCTCCGAGTCCCTCTCCCTCTCCCCCACCTGCCCCATCCCTCGCCCAGGCCCTGTTCCCAACACACAAGCACATGTGCCCTTGAAAGGAAATCCCGGCCTCCCTTGGATGGCCTCGCATCCCTGCCGGGCCCACTCAGTCCCCCGGTGCCTCTAAATGTAAAGAGCATGGCCTCCTCTGTGCCCCTCCCCTCCAAACCATGTCCCCTCTCAGGGCCTAGCCCCAGACCCCTTGTCCAAGAAGCCTCCCTAGATGCATCTGCCCACACTCAGTGCAGAAGCAGAGCCATCACCCACAATCACCGTTTGGCTCCCCAGTCCAAATCTTGCAGTGGTTCTCACTGCCTGGCAGCTCCCGATCAGGCCCTCAGTGACCTGCCCCGTCTTCCCCATTCACACCAGGGCTCACACCCCTTAAAACCAGTCCTCACCTCCAGGAAGGCCACACTTCTCAAAGATAGCCCAGACTCACACCTGCTCCCACCCCAAGCCCATGGCCAAGCCAGAAGTGCCATGGCCATCCCAGTTCTGCCCCGGCCATTCTAGTCAACAAAGAAATACATCCAAAAGGTAAGCCAGTCTTCCCCTGCTCCATCCCCCAAAAGGGGTCCATAGAACCCACACACAGGAAAGACTTGTAACTCTGCTTTCCCAGGAACTCACCGAGGTTCTAGTACTACTGGGAGGGCTGCAGAGCTCCTGCCACAGGGCACCCCGTCTCTGACGGGGAGAAGCACTGACCCCCTTGCTTTGGCCACAGCCTTAACACAAGCTCTAGAACCAGGTTACTTGGGTTCCAATTCTGGCCCTGCCATTTACTAGCTGTGTAACTTTGGGCAGGTTGCTTAACTTCTCTGAACCAGTCTCTCTATAACTTTGGAATAATTCTACAATATCTGTGTTGGAGAGTTGCTGTGATTATTAAGGAGATAAATTACATGTTGTTCTTAGCGTACCACTTGGCATACAATAAATGCTCAAGAAATGTTTGGTATCGATGATCTTATGAGAGAAATGAGAAACAGGCAGGACAGGGAAAGGTAAGTCAAAAACTGTGAAGTTAGCAATTGTGCTAGGAGTAGTATCCACATATCCCATATTTGTTCAGAAGTATTCCAGGAGCTGGAAAAGTAGACATTTCAGGAGCCACAGCAAGAGGCACAAATCAAAATCAATCAAGCAATCAGTCTCTCAACACATACACATCAGCAGGATAAGAGGGAGAAGTATCATCCTACAGTCAGGGAAGGCTACTACAGAAAGACCCAAAGGCCACTGTAGCTGAATCCTCCCTCCGAGGCAGGTAAGGACCCAAGCGTCCTGAGCTCCCACCAGGAGAGGCGTTCGGCCTGGCTGTACTGTGCTGGCATCCTGCCAGAGCACGTACCGAGTCCAGCCACTAACAGCTCCCAGTTTTAGGGTCTGTGGGGCCAAACGTAGGGCTGGACCTGGGGGGCCCTGGCAGGCCGCCCCAGGCGTGAGGCAAACACACATCAAGGAAAGCAGATCAGGACACTCGAAATGGTTTGGCCAGCCACTGGGCAGAGCACTGCATAGCACCTACAGCTCAGTGCACTTTGTGGGGTGCGGGGGGAGAGGAGGGCTTGGCTTGGGTAAGGTGGAAGGCCCAGGACTCTGCACCTCAGGCTGGCAACACACATGTCCCCCCACAAAGGTAGGTAGCCAAGGTAAGAGCAAGAAGCAAGGGCGCCTCTGCCTCCCACAGCCCCTGGAATTCCTCCTCTCCCTCCAGGTGCCTACAGGGACCTCCCTGCTTGCAGATCACTGCCTGCACACATCCCCACTCACCTCACACCTCCCCTAGCCGCCTCCCATCAGCACCACGCCCACCAAAGGCCTCTGTCTGGGGCTTTGGCAGCACTTTCTGGGTCTCTGTCCAAGGGCAGGGCCGCCGCCTGTGATCAGAAAAGGTGTACCCTTCTCTGGGATTCCCAAAAAGGCTGGGGGCTGGTAACTCAGGCTAGCTCCATGCCTGGCCCACAGCAGGCACTGGCACAGAGAAGGACCATTCTTCAGAGGGAGAAACCAGGGTTTCCTCCAGGAATGCCCCTTAGACTGCCAGGGGTCTTCCCTCTGTCCTGGCTCCAGCAGAGGTGCCCACTGCCAACATCCCCAGCCACCACCCTGCCCTGCCATTCCACAGGGCCCTCTGCCACCCCCACTCTAATCTGCCACCCAAGTGTAGACCTTTCTCCCCCTCCCTTTCTCCTCCTAAATGACAGACACAGAGGGGACTTGTTGGGAAGAAGATGGGAGAATCAGGAGGTGGGCTGAGGGACACCCACTAACCAGGGCCCTGCAGCTGCCCTGGTTCCCACCCAGGGCAGAATTCCACCCTCACAGCTGGTTAATGTCTTCACATCCTCCAGCCCTCCCAAAGGGACCTGAGCTCTCCACGCCTCCCCTTCAGATCCTGGGAGAAGGGGGAGGCCAGCTCTGCCTCCCAGCCCAGCCACAGCCTCGGAGTCTCCAGGAGTCAGGACCTTGCCTGGAACTCACAGCATGGGCCAGGCAAGGGGAGCCAGGGTGCCTGACATTCAGGTTCCTCATTGTAAAGCGGCAACCATGGTAACACCCAATGCACAGGACTATTAAAAACGCAGGTACTTTCAACCCTGGCACTATGTATACTTTGGGCCAGATGATTATTTGTTTTCAGGGCTGTCCTGTGTATTATTGAATGTTTAGCAGCATCCAGGGCCTCTACCTAGTAGATGCTCAAAGCATCCCCCACCCCTTAGTTGCGACCACCAAAACATCAGCAGACATTGTTCAATGTCCCCTGGGGGGTGGAATGGGGAATAGAAATTCCCGCAGTTGAGAACCACTGGTGAAAATGAAATAAAATGCACCCTCTGCCCTTGGCAGGTCCCCAGCACTGAGTAAACAGGGCTGACGGTGTCCGTTTAACCCTTTCATCTCTCCAGCCTCATGTTAAACACCTTCCCTCTTCTGCCTGCCCTTCAGCTTTCTGTAAATTTGAAGCCCATCACCTTCCCTCTTCCACAAGACCTTTGCGTGGGCTTTTCTCCCCACCTGGAATGTCCTCCCTGACAAGCTGACTCGAGCTCTTCCTTCAGCTCAGTAATCACTGAGACCCAGACACCTCCTTGACTACCTAGCTGGCACCAGCATCCCCTACCCATCCTCTCCTCACTTCTCTCCCTCATCCATCTGTCTGCATGTACAGGCAAGACATGCACACTCCTTTCTTCCCTGCACCCAGCCCAGCATCTGGCACTTAGTAAGTGTCCACTGAAGATTTATCACATCAATCACCAGCATCCCCCACCCTAAGCCAGGAGTGCAACACCCAGTCCTAAGGTCCCAGGGGAAGGGACAGGAAAGTGTACATCAGACAGCACCCTCCCACCCTCAGCAGGCGCAGGGTCTGACACCAGCACAGAGAGGACAAGTGATATGGACTCATGGCACCCCAGGGCAGGGCCATCTGTGGGGTGAATGGAACAGGGTGAATGGAGAGGGTTCCCCCCTCTCCCCCTCCCCGGGAGCTTAGGGGAAAGGCCTGGCTGGCAGGGTGAGTCGAGGAGTGGGGAACACAGCCAGGAGAAAGAGGGTTGGCTCCTTCTGTTCTCACAGGCTGCAGGCACGGCTGATGCTCCGGTTTCCACCCACCAACCTTCACTCCCAGTCCACACTCTTCCTCAGCCCCAGGGCCAGGCCCAGGGCATCGGGTTTCCCGCAGTCACATTCCTGCCTCCATAGCTCATGTCAGTGAGACTCCCAGGCGGGGGCTGGCAGCCACGCGGTCTGCGGCCATGCACTCTGTCTTGGGGCTAGCTGCGTAAGGGATCCTGCTGCTCGCCCAGGGCACTGGGTGGCCTCCAACTGCCGCTGCCCAGCTGGCAGCCATGGCTCCCTGGGGGAGCCTGAGCTCAATTAGAAGTGTGAGGGACTCCCTCCTGCCGCCCCCAGGGGTCCCCAGAGCCAGCGGCCAAGCCCACCTTAGTCTGCTGATGTCTCTGCCCCAAGACCTTGTGTGGCCACCCCCTTGGGAGGAGGTGGGCAGGTTCTAGGGAAACAAGAAGTCTATGAAGAGGACTTCTGGAGTGGCC